ATTTCCTTGGGGAACCCCATCCTCCTCCATTTTCTGTCTTGTGCTTCTGATGGAAATCTATCTAACAACAGAAATGGTACACGGGACTCAGACCCAGCCAATCCCAGGACTCGGGATGGAGCCAAGGTGGAAGGTGGGGCCTGGCACAGTGGCTCAGGCCTCTCATCCCAGCACCTTGGGGGGCTGAGACGGGAGCTTGAGGCCAGGAGTTGGAGACCAGCCTGGCCAACATGGTGAAACCCTGTCTCTACTAAAAATACAAAAAATTAGCCGGACTTAGTGGCAGGTGCCTGTAGTCCCAGCTACTCAGGACGCTAACGCTGGAGAATCACTTGAACCCGAAAGACAGGAGGTTGTGGTGAGCAGAGATCGTGTCAGGGCACTCCAGCCTGGAGGACAGAGCCAGACTGTGTCTCGAAAAAGAAAAGAAAGGTCTGCCGAGGCAGGCGAGTCCCCTGGACAGTGGGGCACGATCCTGCCGCAGGGCTGGGGGGTGCTTCACGACGCACCTGGACCTCAGAGTAGGAGGCAGAAGGCCATGCCAGGCCCCGCACCAGGCCCCGCAGCTTGGAGAGGCGCGGGGGTAAGGAGGCACCCAGAAGCCGGACCCCACGCAGACCAGGCACCGCCCCAGACAGGTCCCGGGAGAGGCCTCGGCCCCCTGGTGGCTCAGAGGCCCCACCACTTCCCCGAGCTGGCGACCCCTCCCAGATACTCTTCAGGACTCTCCTCCCCGCTAGGCACTCTGGGGACCCACGTCCTCCCGAGCTGCCAGAGGGAATGAGGGCTGAGGCTGCCACAGACACAGGTTCACCCTGTGGGGCATCCGTTTCCCGAAGGCCAGAGGGAAACTGAGGCTTTGGGGCGTCAGGAGACGGCCAGTGTGGCCGCAGGGGCAGGGCCACCGGGCTGTGAGGCGCTGGCTGGGCCGTGGGAGGAGCCCGGTGTCAGCCGCGGGGCTGGGGGCCGAGGCGTGCCCACCTCCAGAGTCCCCGGGGGAGCCACGAGGGCCCGGCCTCCTTCCCCCGCACCGACCCTCCTAGCCTGCCTGTCCCCCGGGCGCCGGAGCCTTGAACCAAAATTCTCCCCGCAAACGGAGGAGGCTACCTTCACTCCATCGCTGGGCACGGGTGGCGGTCACAGCGCTCCCGGGGCCTGTCACCCTCGCCGGGCGCCTCCGGGAACCTGCGGAACTCACAGGCGGCGCGAACCTGCCACTTCCGGTCCAGCCTTGGCCCTGGGCAGCGTCTGAGCATCAGGAGCCTGGGGTCGCCGTTCTCAGCCCTGGGCCTGTGTCCCCTCCCCCTGCCCATCCCGGAAACCCGGAGACCCCAGGACCAGGACCCGCTGGAAGCAGCTGTACAGAGGAGACGGGGATCTGTGAGGGGTCGAGGGGATCTGTGAGGGGTCGAGGGGATCTGTGAGGGGTCGGGGGGATCTGTGAGGGGTCGGGGGGAATCTGTGAGGGGACATGGGGATCTCTGAGGTGATGGGGGATCTGTGAGGGGATGGGGGAATCTGTGAGGGGGGATCTGTGAGGGGGGATCTGTGAGGGGGGATCTGTGAGGGGTCGGGGGGATCTGTGAGGGGTCGGGGGGAATCTGTGAGGGGACATGGGGATCTCTGAGGTGATGGGGGATCTGTGAGGGGATGGGGGAATCTGTGAGGGGGGATCTGTGAGGGGGGATCTGTGAGGGGTCGGGGGGAATCTGTGAGGGTACATGGGGATCTGTGAGGGGATGGGGGAATCTGTGAGGGGACAGGGGAATCTGTAAGGGAACAGACGGATCTGTGAGGGGATGGGGGATTTGAGGGGACGGGGGATCTGTGAGGGTACCGTGGTTCTGTGAGAGGATGGGGGATCTGTGAGAGGACAGGGGATCTATGAGGGGACCAGGGTTCTGTGAGAGGATGGGGGGCTTCTGTGAGGGAATGGGGCTCTGTGTGTGGGGTGGAGGGATTCTGTGATTTTTGCCACTTGAGTTCTAATCCCTGCTCTTCCTTTTGGACCTGGAGGCCATGCCTTCCCTGGGGTCTGTATCTTGGTCCTTCCTGATCCCATTTCCAGGGAGCATGCAGAGGCAAATCTCTCTGTGAATCTTGGCCCTTTGGTGATAGCTGCAGGGCAAGGACCTTCAGTGTCAGTCTCGGCACCTGCCCAGGACACAACCCCAGAAGAGCCTGGCTGGCCCTGCTGTTTGCAGGCACTCTGGGAGCTCCAGCCCCAGTGCTCCTCCAGAGTCTGGGGCCCAGCACACAAGTGGGACGGGGCAGAGTCAAGGCCCAGGAGATGGAAGGGCCCTTGGATGCCCGACCACAGCACAAGTCCTGCCGCTCTGTGTCCTGAGACCCTTCTGCTTGGGGTCCCCCAGGCGTTCAGGGCATGCCAGGGGCACAGCTCCCTCATCTTTAAAATGGGAGCCATGCCCTCAAGTTCCCATCCCTAGAATCCTTGGAGGAACCTGTGGCTAAGTATGAAAAGCTCAAAAAACCGGGGGAGCCGCCAGGAGGGCTGCGGCTTCTTGTGCCTAACCAGAGGGAACAAACCAGAAGGGCTTCTCTGCAGAGCGGGGACTCCGAGCCTGGCCCAGCCCAGCGACTGCTCTGTGCACAGGACCCAGGCAAAGACCCAGGCCCGCCTGGCCCAGACCCAGGCCTCAGCCTCACCTGCCGCTGGGAATCCCAAGACAGCTGTAGGGACCCAGGGCTGGAGACCACCTGCAGTCATTGACTCTCCCAGCCAGTTCCAACCCCCTCCACAGCCAGGACATGGAGGCCTGGGTAAAGAAAAGGAAATGCCCCCAAGCTAAAGGAGAAGCCCAGCAAAGGCTGGACCCCAGCTCTCATGAACCCTGGCAAGGGCACTGTGCGAGCAGGTGCGTTCAGGTTTCCAGGCAGGTGCAGGAATTTTGTTTTCACAGGCAGCACCATCACTGCTCAGCAATCCCTGTGCCCAAGGGCTTTGTCCTATGCCATACTGGGGCCTAGAAATACTACAGGCCAGAGTGAAGTCCCAGCAGGAGGCAGCAGACAAGACCTGCACCAGGCATGTCAATGGCATGACTTCCTCACCCTGCCTGAGCTGCAGCTCCATTTCACAGATGTGCATGTAGAGATGCAGATGCAGGCCCCTCAGTCAAGGTCACAGGGCTCACAAGACATGAAGAGCTGACCCTGGGCAGAAAGCCATCTTCCTGGGCCCAGGCAGAAGCAGAAATCCCGGGAATGCAGGGCAGAGCCGCAACAAAGGCTGCAGGCCTATGTGGGTGGAGAGGCTCGGAAAGGATCCAGCCTCAGACCACAGCCTCCACCGTGCTGCAGCTCTTCCTGGCTGGAGTGGCCTCCACCCTGCCTGCCCCTCCCCAGGACTCTCCCCATGCAGGGACAGGAGGAGCTGGCACTAGGGCCCTCACCTGCATGAATGAACCAACAAGGGACTAAAGGAGGGAGTGAGGGAGGGAAAGACAGAAGGAGGGAAGGAGGAAGGAGGGAGAGAAGGAAGGAGGCCTGAGTTCCCACCTCTACTGCTACCTCAGCCACCCCTGGGCTCGAGACCTATGGAATTCTTATGGAATTCTCTCTTCCCCAATAGCACACCTGGCTTTTCTGCCCCATCACTTTAATGGACACGGTGTTACACCAGACGACTTTACACAAAAAAGAAAAACGGAGCATTGTCACCAGCATCTCACGGAAACAAATACATGTTACATTGTCACACGTCACATCCAACGCACATTCCTGGGCAAGGTGCTGTAACCAGTGCAGAGCTGGACAGCAGCCCACAGGCCCAGGCAGGGCCCCAGCAGGCGTCCAAGGAACAGGAACCAGGTTGCAACCACCTGGCCCTGCACTTCCCCTCCAGCCTCCAGGCTGCCCCGATGAGGCTGAAAACAGCACCATGAAGATAAGCTGTTGAAGACAATCCTTCGTAAGAACCTTCCATCAGCACATGGACAACAGATGCCAGCCAGCCACCGGTCCACAGATGGTCCTCGGAGAACGTGGGGTCAAGATTGAAAGCGACCTCGATGGTTTGTCTCGTGGGCCTGGAGGTGGTGGAGGGGCCAGCCCCGGGCAGGGTATGGTGGGCGCCGCACATGGACACACCAGGTCAGGTGGGCTCCCTTCTTGGATGAAACTCTTCACGGTCTTCTGGCTACTCTTGACACTCCTCATCCGCTCCAGGGAATGGAGCCTGCAGGAGGATGCCCTTGGCCTAACTCCCGTAGGTGCTAAACCATGGAGGCAGGTCCAGGGACCCCACCCAGAAAGCTCTGACCTCCGCTTCCACCCAACAAAACACCGCATGACCTGGCAACCCAGGGTCTAGAATCAGTGCTAGAAAAACGTACCACAAAACGCTTCTCACGTCCATGGGTTTTGTTGGTGGTATTTTTTTTTAATTTTGGATCAACAAAAAAAGAACATAGCAGGCTCTCAGGTATATAAAACAGGTAATATTAGGTAAACATACAAACTTCACCTTTACAAAAAAACAAACCACACACACACATTTCTGTTAATACACATAAAGCACAATATCTTACCAAAAATAAAGAATTTGGGTTCTGTCCAAACACTGGCAGCAGAGGGAGTGACCGCCACCACGGCACCAGGGCACGACAACACAGATAGAAGCGGCAATGCATCTCATGTGCCGCGCGGGAACACAGCATTCTAGGTGTACACTGCGGGGAACAAGGTGTCACACAGCCACAAACAGGGGCTCTGGGGCAGGTGCCGCAGGGACGGCATACGATTGGTTGACGCATAGTTCTTTCAAAATGGCTTAAATTAAAAAATAAAGCAGGGTAAGGGAGAAACACAAAGCCAGAAACATTTAGGAAATGATGCATAGGTAGGTATACCATGTTTATTTTAATACATCTCATTAGTTTGCATCTTGCTAGGAAAAA